TGAGGAACAAAATTCTTCGGAGATTTTGTTTCTTGGAGTAATATTTTCATTTATTTGTCACTGAAACATTATATTTGTTTGTAAATGCAGTCAACAAAACAAAATAATCACGGAGGGTCGCTCTTTCGGGACATATATACAGCTAACGAATGTCTTAATCAATGGACACAGTTTAGTGCGGACTGACATTGAGTATCGTAGTGCCATGCTCGTGCTGACGCATTCACGTGAATCGAATGACCAATCAGTAATCGATCAACGGGTGCGTCACAACTTCAGATACATCAGTGCAGTTAAGGTTACTGGGGGCTTTCATTCGAATAAGCCCCGTGCTAAGGCCTAATCAAATGTACTGTCGGATTACCCCCTTTTGGCCCTGCCAAAATTCTTGCAATTTTGCAAACTTATTTTTCCCTCAACCAGTCAAGCGATGCACAACGTTCAGTAACCATGTATCTCAGGGGGATAGTAAGATTCCTTCTTTTGGGAACATAACAAAATCTTTTTTGATATACAAGTGGAAGGTGCGTTTTGATTATCAACATACCGCGGAAATAATAATTAGTGGCAATGACTACATTCCGAGAGCGCCTTTGCATTCCAAGATTTCTTGCTATAGCTTAATGATGAGTAGTTGCCAAGTCTACTTATTTTGGTAACTAGTGCTTTGAACATGGATTTACCAGGGGTTTGTATGCGCAGCATTTTTAAGCCCTCTGCGTAACGTTACATCATTCCTACGCTGTTTTAACAGAGCACGGTCAAACGCATAATTGTTATCCGAGTAAAACAATGTATATTCAAGTCACCACCGTTTGGGGAGCACGATCTACCCTCTTAGAAGGCGTAAAACTAAGTTTACTGTAACAGCCAGCCCATTTAATTCCGAAAGAGCGTTCGTGGATTACGTATTAGTTCCCAACCGTGCAGCAAACTTTCAAAGACAGGCGAACAACCACACCTAATTCACCATTTCGTGATAGCACTAAGATTAACTGTGACTCCGCTGTTTCCAAATATGAAAACTCGCAGTGTTTACTCACGCATTGTCCAAACTGGGACATTTTGCGGCTACTCAAAGAGACTTTATGAGTGCCCGACTGAGCTTTCTTTGGCTGATAAAGCGTGCCCATTTCATGCGTTCCTCATCTTGAATATACTGGCCTAAACCAACCGGAACATCCTTGTTTCCCACATGACGGGTGCGCTGCGTTTGCTAAATATTTTCGGAAAATTCACTTCACTTGTTCTTATGAAAGATATAATATTTCTCGCGAATATACACCCATTTGCAAACTAATTTCGTTTTTCGAGAGACTCACCTGGAACTCAGGTGAATCTCTCATTTGTAAAATTTTCAGGCAAGTGAATGTGCTGCTTCAGGCCACTTCATGTCTTGGTCGCTACAATATTCGAGATATCGCGATACATGTACATCTTTGTACTATTTTTTTCTTTTTTAATGCTTTCTCTCTTTCTTCTTCTCTACAAGTAGTATCAGGTTTTATCAATTGCGCCCACATAATTTGATGCCCATTTGAGTGACACGTAGCTAAATACAAAGCCTATGTTTTGATGAAATTTTGAGTGCTGCTTATTTGATGATTTTACAGATTAAATATAAATTATAAAAAGTCAATAATAAAGATGTAGAAAACACCTGCACCGATGTACACAAATACAATATCCTAAGACATGTCAAGGTTCTCACGGGATTTTCATCAACCCAATTTCTCAGTTGACTTTCAAATACCATAATAGGGTAGGCATTGTGTTGCAAGTTTTCAGAAAAGTGTATTTAATCAATGTTTGTTTAGCCTGCAAAATGCGGAAAACTGTCAAATTTTCTCCGCTCCGCATCCCACCATCTTTCATACCATTCCTCATATGCAGTCAGGGTGTTTTCACATCAATATCGTGTTTTTTCATATTATTCAGAAGTTTTGTTTAGTGCGGCAATCACTGAGCCCTCGCTCATTAATTGCATAGAAACATGAATGACCTGTAGGTTAATCCACGTAAAAGAAATCAAGTAAGTAGTTTCGTCACCTGGAAAATGAAAACATGTCGGTGGACTACGTAGTGGGTATAATTCCAGTATAAACGGCATGAAATGTCAGAGATCGTAGCCTCATATGTCAACTTGCAGATTATTTGAATAACATTTCTCACACAAAACTTACTATTCTGGGTTGAAATTTCTGGTTTCCTCTTCGCTGTGCGTTCTGAAAAATGTTCGGGATTCAAGAAACCCGTGACGAACGTTTATAGCAGCGCATGGAGTCTGTAATAATTGATGACTGATGTTTCCAGCTTTTTTGCGTTCAAAATTTCGAAAACAAGCATTTATATTCTCCCAAGAGCCTAATTGATCAGCAAAAAGTGACAATCCATATAGGAATCATCTAATCTGAAGCAGTCGAAAATATGCTTGTGCACAGTACTACGGAGATAAACACGGTTTCCGGTTCTGAGATTCACTACGCGAAAGTTAACGCAGTTGGTTTATCAGCAATGTGCATTCTCCAAAATGTGATACAAAGCCTTTTTTCTTAAAAAGAGCATAGTTTTCTACCATCAAATCTTACCAATTCTTGGCGGGTTGGGTGGGTAGGTTTTAACTGAAACGTTAAATGCACAGGAAAATTCAAAATGTTTGAATATGCAAAGGCAGTTTTAAGATTATTAGGAAATATATTGAAATGGATTTTAAAGCTAGGGCTGACATTCATAATGCTTGTGGAATTGTCATCTTAAAGTTGTGTTCTCATTGTGAACCATCAAGGCGCTTTGTTAGCTGCATTACACTTGCTTTTAAGTCCTTCCAGAAACTTCATTTTTCAACACAAGAAGCATTTCACCAACGTTGTTCAGTGACGTCTAACACTCAACCCCCTGTTGTCTTCTTACCGGAGCGATTTTTCACCTGTTACTCATAACTGTCAATTTTACTACTTTCTTCTAACGTGTGAACACAATTTTGCTGTGCAAGGTGAAAGAAATGAATCGATGCCTGTTCCGTATAAAACATGGTGACTTAGAAGGCGACCAAAAACTTGAAAATCTTATCCGAATGGATCAATAAAGATAAAATGCAGTCGAGTGTTTGCTGTGATTGGATCGCTTTTCTCCCCACGTCCGTTTGATGGAGCCAACATAAGTTTTACGGTAGATTAGATGAATTATATAGGTACATTTAGTATATAGTAAATAGAGCTAAAATAAATAATAATAATAAATAATAATAAACAGAGCTACAGCTTGCTGATGTCCAATCAAATGGGTAGAAAACTGTTTTTACAGCCTACATATGCGGTTGCTTTGAAAAGGCTACCCCCAAACTGTCTTGGGAAATAGTTTTGCTCCGCGACTTTAAGGATTATCGCTTGGTCTTCTTACAATTTATTGCATTTTTCCAACCTGCCGGCGGACCCAGGAGGAGTTTGAGTAATTTTATTAGGGAGGTCAAGCGTGACGAGGTTTTTCGAAAACTTCTGTGAAAATGAGGGGTTCATTTTTATGTCCCATGTCTTGTGTTCATCAACAAACGCTCGCCGTTAACAGTAAGTTTCCTTCTTTTGTAAACGCGCAAATTTTGCACCCAAATGCAGATATCGGACCTCACCTAGAAGGAATACCGCTTCAAATCCTTGGAATGCACGAATTCCATCCGAAATAAATTGAATTGTGACTTGCTTGTGAAAAACAATCGGAGCTGGTGGTTCGAACCCACAAAAAGGTCCGTGGATCACCTGGTCATCGCCAGTTCCAATGGTAATATGGACAAAATCATATTCGCACCTTTCACCAGTATACGATTCTTCAACCTGTTTTTGAAAGAAACGCATAGGAGAATTGACAATCATTCTATCGTCACCAATTGTGGCATTACAGGTAATCAATAATCTACAACATGTTCACTTCTGTCAACATCTGTTTGTTCTTCTATATTGTTTATGTTTTCTAACGATCGACTGCATACTGAGTTTTCTCACATGTGTGTAGCAAAACGTGCGAAAAATTAGAACCAACGAACACAAATATGGTATTATCCTTCAATCGGACTTATTAAAATCATTCAATATTAAAGAAAAATGCCTGTGTAAAATTTTGTTTATCCACTGCTTAATGCATCGGGCTAGCTGAATATTATTTTGCACGTACCCTGATGAAATATTTTCGCATGGTTCACTGTTGCGGCTGGACTGAACTTCCATTTTTTTAAGTATACCCAGAGGTGCATTTCTTACAAGTTTTGTATATCCCTCTTGGACGCTTGGATAAACTGCTCAACAAGCAACAATTTCACATCCTTGATTCTGTACTCATAATTTGGTATTTCGCTTATTGTCTGGATTAATTCGGTCGTTAAAGGGCTGTTTTCTAATTGCTTGCCAAGTGTGTTGCTTATTTGGTTTCATGTTGCACGAAAATGAAAGCTTACCTCAGCACAGATGGCCCTTATTTTAAGGTTATAAATTCCAGCTTCGAATACTTTCTATTTTATTGATCAGCCCTGTACTGCTTGTCATATTCTCGGAAGGTTTATTTAAGTTTATCAACGTGAAGGGGGACCAAGGTCTCAAGTAGTTTGCACGTACACAACAAAGCTGTAGTTCTGCATGCAAGACACATCTGGAATCTATCAGTAACTGAGCTGTAGTGAAAGCTCTTCCTTGGAGTGAAAACTATCCATTGTGTTTCTGCGATGTGCCTTAGAAATTCAAACGCTCTCCAAAATATATGTCGCATTATTGTGGTTAATTTTCAGCCAAGGATGTCGGACACCATCAAATTACGTTTGAATATCAGCTAGTCAAACTGCCATCATGAGTCATAACGGGAGTGTAGAACGATGTACGCGCCTGCCACAATTTTCGTTTCAGTGACCTCAGCAGACAAACATCCCTGACGTTAATTGTCCCCAATCTGATTGTCATATAAAGACTACTTTTTAAACCCAGTAGCTAATATTCGACCACACGAAAATATATGCACAAAATTATAAGCATTCGCAATTCACGTAGCAGGCAAATTTTGGGGGTTACTTCAAACGTCGGAAAAACTAGTACGCTCAGCCCACGGGGCTTGTAAATTGTCCATGTACAGTTGAGGTTGTCTGGATAAGCGACAGGGTAACCTGGCGACCGGAACTCGCCCGATTCTCCTTCCAATACTTCACCGCATTCCAGTCCTGAAAGTTACAAGGAATCGTAAGCGACAACTGTCTTATTTAGAACATAAACGACTTCGGTGATCTTACTCGTATTTATTTAATTACTTATTTAATGTTGAATAAAAGATGATTACACTACTGCTGACTTCTAATTATATTAGTGACAAAATGCACGTTTGAAAAATCATGTTCGCCTTGTATGATTATGCGGAAAAGCCCAGTGTATCCTCTTGATTTGCGGCATCTCTGGCGTTATTGTTTCACTCTTCATGGCAGTGAGCGCAGCTCAGAATTGGTGGTCTGTGTTTCGCAAGCTGCGTCATTGTAGGTCTTATATGTGTCCAAAATCCCACATCAAAACGTGTCCAACATGTTGAATTCTACGAATAAGTACTAGACGAACCTATGAATCAATAATATGACGTCACACGCGTGGTAGTTAATCGCAACCTTGTAAGTGAAGGTGGGTCATGTGTAATTGGTCGTAGTAAAATCCGTTGAACTCGAATAAAACGTGAATATTGAATTCTACCAATAGGGACTAGACGGACCTATGAATCAATAATATGACGTCACATGCGTGGTAGTTAATCGCATCCTTGTAAGTGAAGGTGGGTCATGTGTAACTGGTCGTGGTAAAATCCGTTGAACTCGAATAAAACGTGTAGCCCTTTCAAAGATAGCAATTCCAGCTCAATGATATAACTGAATTACATATGTAGTACATTCTTCCCCAAATGCTATATTTGTGCCATGACACTCCAGGTCGTTGCGCAACTTGCATGGATGCAAGTAAAAGAACGCAATGAACCCATGAGCAGCCTGTTTCTTGCCGATGGGCTGAAAAACTTAGCATTACCTTTGTAGAATTTTGTCAAAAATTCTCGACATCCGAGAAGGAATAAGAGATGTGATGACTCACTTTTCAGTGGTTCAGCTGTAAAGGACATGTGAAGGATGGCTAAATGTATGTGTAAAATCAATAATATGAACGAAAAAGTTGGGTAAGGGGCAGTGGTTTAGTGAATCGCCATAAAAAGTAGGTTTTTGTTTATCTCTATTGCCAAACTTTGTAAATCACATCACCCCGATAATGGGTTCTACATATTTCACTTATGTAGCTGCACCCTAGCTTTTAAAAACACATCTACTTGGCGAGATGAAAGGAGAAAAATAACTTTGTTGCCTAATTGATTAACGGATCATTTGTGGCTAAACATCACCCACAAGTCTGATGGCCCAAAATCGCCTGTATATACTTTAATTTTTGTCAAACATTAATTATGCAGGTCAAATGTTTTCTTAGTCTTCAGTATGTTTACAATCCCAAATTTAAAACCTAGCATATTTGGGAATACTACGCTATTGTATAACAGATTTCTGGGATAGCTACGGAGCAACAAAGGCAGTTGAGCCGCCTCACTTGAACGCAAAAAGACAAAATGGCTTACCAGAGGTGACATATAATCCAACTACATAAAAAGCCAGCAGCAGGAAGAACATATTTTCGCTTTTCTAACAGTGAGTCACGTTACTATGGCTGCCTCTTTACTCAGGCATTTATATTGCTTCAGCATAAACGAATGGAGACGTTTTGTGGTTGGACGCAAAAGTATCGACCTTGATTTGAAGAACGGGATATCAAAACACTTCTCATTACGTAAGGAATTCACGTGGTCTCTTGAATTCATAGAAGGCAAAATGACGCCGTTCCGACTGCTTTCATCATGACAGGCTTTTGTGCAATATAAAGAAAAGTGGAGAAAATTGCTGCTATCGATGTGCTCAAATGGATTTGTACTGAAAACGGTTTAATATTCTTTCTAGTAATCACGAAACTGTGAAACTGTTGCGTGCACTCTCTGAGCACTGAACTAAACTTGGATGGGATACATTCAAACATTTGAACCTTGCCACAGTAATAAAAAAACATCTTCCGCAAAGGTCCATCAAAACTGCGACAATGGCGACTGGTGAATTCTGCAAATCAAGTTGAAGAATTTTCAAGCTCTGTGTAGAAAATGCTTGGATTACCTGCGGAAGTGGGAGTAAACTCTGACGTCAAGTCGTGGTGCTCCACAGTTTCCGTAACATCTGACTTCAAATATATCTATAATCCTCAACAGTCACCTCCCTTGGAAAAGATGTTACGGAACATTTAGGTCTAGTGCGTTCCGGTAGCGTTTGCGAGGCTCCCCAGTTAGCTAATCTGTGCGTTTATCAGCCCCACTCCTCATCCTTTTGAAATAAATTACCAGTATAATCTAGCATATATACTTATAATATATAATGTACGTGTATAATATGATATATATGTATAGTATAATCTAGTGCAATCCTAAATGCGTTCGAGAGGTTAAGCGGCGTTTTTATTTGAGTTGCTGTGTCTTGAACTACACAGTTCTTAGGCGAATCGTCCAAAGAGGTTCATCCAAGTCCCGCAAATATTTTACGGCGGCCTGCGCTCCAATACCAAATGACGGTTTGGGCGCACCACAGATATCCCTGCTATGCTTGCTAATTGTTAATCTTCAGCCTAACAATTAACTATTGAAGCAAACACCAGGGTCCTCAGCATAACATCTGAAGCTTTCCTTATGCTGAATGAAAAACTGAACCCAAACTGAAGACTAAGTCTCGTTCGTAGGTAGCCAGTCTAATAAAACAACTCTGACTGTGATCGCAACAAGAGCATGTATTATTGTGATCCGTAAATCCAAGAAATTCTGAAAACCTCAGTCTGTGAATGACCTGTTGATCCAAAAAATCCACTGGTAAAGTTCTGACATTTGAAATTCGCTGCATTAGTTTCGTTAGCCCGTTTAGAATTATGCGTTCCCTTTGTTATCATAATCATTTGTATCCATAGGGCTCAATAAGAAACTGATAGGTTCTGCGATTCCAAACGCCAGCCGGGATCCCAGATAAACGTAATTATGTGAATTTTGTACCCTGTACACAAACAGTTGGCTACTTAGTATACTGAGCCACATTTTTCCATAGTCGCATAAGACTTTCCCACTCGCATGGAACGCTCCTTCTTATGTTGTTCAACATGCGCATTCAAGGTCTGGCATGCAATCATAATTCGCTTTGATTATTTGAGCTTGGTATCCTCGCTTGGCTTCATATTCACACAAGTATTGGTCTGTGAATTGCTCGTTTGATTTTGACGGTATTGTGACATTTATAATGCAGCATCTTTAGGTATATTACCTGTTTCGTTGAGTGGTTAGACATTTGGATCGGTCAAATGGAGCTATTTTGCAGGACGTGAGCGGCATGTAAATTCTTTCTCACATTCCTTTGCTTTAACGTTTGCAGGACAGCAGCACATTCTGGTTATCAAGCCATTATAACGATTGATTTAATTTATTTATTTTTTTTAATTTTTTTTATTTTTATTTATTTTTAATTTTTTAATTTTCCCATTAGTTCATTGCGTGAGCAAAGCCGTGGAAAAACGTTTAGTACGATTGGTTGCCGACTAGGCCATGTTGAGATTAGCACCAACAGTCAAAACTCGAATGTGACACTCCAATTGCGAGAGCACACTACGTGAGCTCGGTACTATAATGCGAATTTCCGCCACGATCTCAAACCTCGAGTATTCCGCATCTAGCTATTCCATTTGAGAGAACGCCTCAAGCAAAGAGATCAACCCAGTGACAAAATCGGAACGCCCGATCACACGGAGCTACTTGGACCCAAGGGAATGATAGCACAGCGCAGCATAGGCGAGGATGTTAATGATACACGTGACAAACTTTCACAGCATCCATAGCCATCTCTGTTTGCTGCGCAAAGTGAAAATCCCCAGTGATGACATAATGGGGTGCCAACTCTATACTTGTCTCATCTGGCCGGATAACCGGAAATCCGGTGAAATCCGATTGAAAACACAAACCACCTCATATGTAACAAAAACATTTTAAATGCGCGGAACATTTTCAACCAAACGTAAAACCTAAAGAAATAAGAGATCGTCAGATCTTACACAGGACATGTCATGAATTGAGTGAATGATTCCTGTCATTGGGTCGCGTTTTGGTGCTCAAACATACAGTTGATATTCTGTCACAAAAATTCTCCGAAAATATCGCTCATCCAAACCTCCACGCCTTATTCCCACGTTGACCTTCAGTTCGTTCACTGTCACTGAACAGTTTAACGCAAAAGTATTGCCGACCAGTAAATCCCCCGCAGAAACGTAGTGCTAATGCAGCCTAGATTTCCACCCCTTGACATAAAATTCCTTCGTAACGAAAGATAAGAAACTTGGAAACATCACTAACGAGAGATTTAGCTCGCTCTAAGTGAATCTTTCGAAGAACCAAATTTGTTTGAGAACGAGTGTATTCCGCTGATCTCGGACTATATTCATCGGTACCCTTGAGCTCGATTGGCAATCACAAACTTAATACAAGTTATGCAAATCCAGTGATTGTGGGTGAACTCTCCAACTTGTTCTTGCAAACCCCCTCATCCACGATCGTGTGGCATCAGTCATCAATTCATTTAGTTCAACGTACACAAAATTCAGTTTTTAGGACGTTTAATTCCCAGGAACTTAAGCAGGTTTGAAGCTGTTTTACTGCTTTGTGCCCAGTTTTGCTAAATTAATTCACAGTAACCGGAGCCAAACATACAAAGTTAAAAGAGTTTGCATCCTTTCTCCATGGCAGTTCATCGGTTGTCAGGTTGCCCTATTTGTCGGAGCGTCAGTGTCCACACCTACATCTAAACGTGGTTGGACAGAACAAACTCACTAAACGTTAAGCACTTTTGGCGCGCACAACTACACGGACGTAGTGTGGGCATCAACTCTGGTCTATTTATTACGCCGTCGAATACAGCACATCGAACTAAAACGTTTTCATCCATTACCGGGGCAAACTAACCGGCCACACAGTGATCAGCGTAACAAATCACCCTTATTTGAACCACACGCAAGCAGGTGCCCCTGGGGTACACTAGGGATATGTTTTCGTTTGGCAACACATCCAAAGTGTGTGT